ATTTAATTATTATTGAATTATTATGGAAGCTCATATGATGAAACACAAAACCATGGAAGATATGTGCTTTTATTTAATAATATGAGAAAGGTAGATGCCTATCATGCCCATGGAGAATTGAGCATAGAATACATTGGAATCTTAAAAATGTATTTAGGTTCACACTGTAAGTTTTATTTTCTGCTTTTCTTTCTTCTTTTTGTCTTTGTTTTAATCTTTATGACTTTATCCCCAATTTTTGAGAAATAATTTAATATTGTACATTCAATTAAATTGACAACAATAGATCCTATAGAAAGTCTATGATCTAGACAGATTCATGTCCTATTTTGACTTGTCTCTACTCAGTGTGACTAGACTTGTCTCTAGTTCAGTGTGTGAACTCCATACAGCCTATACGTGGTTCCTGTGTACTAAGGTAGGGTCTATTCCATATGTAACACAACTTTGTTGTTGTCATTGTTGTAGCCTACTTTGTGCCAAACACAGGACATTGTCGTTTTTGTTAGGTGCCATCGAGTCAGCTCTGACTCATAGCAACCCTTTGAATGAACACTGTCTGGTCCTGCACCAGCCTCACAATCCTTGCTATACCTGAGCGCATCATGGCAGCCATCATGTCAGTTCATCTCGCTGAGAGTCTTCCCATTTTTTGCTGGCTCTCTCTCCGCTTTACCAAGCATGATATCCTTCTCCAGGGAATGATTCCTTCTGACAACATGACCAAAGTAAATGAGACAAATGAGTGGCCATTCTCATTTCCAAGGAGCATTCCAGCTGCACCTCTTCCAGGACAGATTTGTTGGTTCTTCTGGCAGTCTAAGATACTTTCAGTATTCTTCACCAACAATACAACTCAGAGGTATCAATTCTTCTTCGGTCTTCTTTATTCATTATCCAGCTTTCACATGCATATTAGGTGATTAAAAGTACCATGGGTTGGGTTAGCATACCTTAGTCTTCAAAAAGACATCTTCGTTTTTCAGCACTTTAAGGAGTTCCCCCCTCCCCAGCAGATTTGCCCAGTGCAATAAGGCAATAAGTCTTCCTATTTATTGACTCCTGCTTCCATTGGTGTTGATTGTGGAACCAAGCAATATAAAATCTTTGAAAAATTCAATATTTTCTCCATTTATCCTGATTCTTCTTATTCATCCAGCTCTGAGAATTTTCCTTTTCTTCATGTTGAAGTGTAATATATCTATACTACACATATAGTCTTTCATGTTCATCAGTAAGTGCCTCAAGTCATCTTCACTTTCAGCAATCAAGGTGTGTCATCTGCATATCACAGGTTGTTAATGAGTCTTCATCCAATCCTGATGCCATATTCTTCTTCATATAGTCCAGTTTCTCAAATTATTTGCTCAGCATACAGATTGAATAAGTATGGTGAAAGGATACAACTCCCACCTACTCCCTTCCTGATTTTAAACCATGGAGTATTCCCTTGTTATGTTTGACTGATAGCCTCCTGGTCTATGTACAGGTTCCTCATGAGCACAATTAAGTGTTCTGGAATTCTCATTCTTCTCAATGTTATCCATAATTTGTTATGATCCATACAGTCGAATGCTTTTGCATAGTCAAAAACAAACAAACAAAAAAACACAAGTAAACATCTTTCTGGTATTCTTTGCCTTCAGCCAAGATCCATCTGATGTCAGCAATGATATCCCTCATTCCATATCCTCTTCTGAATCCAGCTTGAATCCAACTAAATCCAGAATTTCTGGACGTTCCCTGTCAATATACTGCTACAATCGTTTTTTAATTATCTTCAGTAAGATTTTACTTGTGTGTGATATTAATATATTTTTCTTATCATTTCCACATTCTGTGGGATCACTTTTCTTTGAATTAGGTACAATATGGATCTCTTCCTGTCAGTTGGCCAGGTAGCTGTCTTCCAAATTTCTTGGCATAGAAAAGTGAATGCCTCCAGTGCAACCTCTGTTTGTTGAAACATTTCTACTGGTATCCCGTCAATTCCTGGAACCTTGTTTTTCACCAATCCCTTCAGTGCAGCTTTGACTTTCTCCTTCAATACCATTGGTTGTTGACCTACTTTGGTGAGTAGTGCTGGGGGTCTTAAATGCTTTAAAGTGTCCATCCAAGATGCAACTATTGGTCTCTGATCTGAAGCAAAAAAGAGTGAAGAATATCAAAGACATCTGGAAACAATTTGTCCAATGATATGATGGACTTCAAGACCAAAAGAACTAGAAGGTGCCTGGCTACCAATTCCAACTGCTCAGGAAGGGATCAAACCTGGAGATCCTGTATAGAACTGGAGGGAATATGTGGAACAAAATCCAAAAACAAAACAAAAAAATGATCAGAATTGCTGATCAAAAAGAGTCTGGCTGAATCCCCAAGACTATGGCCCAGGGGTTTCAGGACTGAAATTGGATTCACTCTCATGGATTGGTTCTCAGCCCAACAGAAGAAAGACCTACATGCAGAATACCTATCCCAAGGTGATGCAACCACCTACACTAGGGAGATACACACTTTAGAGCAATAGGCCATGGAGCAGCAGAGGGGCAGAATTCACATGTTGGGAAAGCTGGACAAAGAGGAGTGCAAAGTTAAGAAGGGCGCAGGAAGGCTGTGATCACAAGGACAGGAGTGGAGGAGAGTTTGTTATGGTGGGGGATGGTAATCAGGGCATGAAGTCAAATGTAAATGAAATGATGAATGTAAAACGAACTCTGTAAATTTGCACCCAAAGAACAATAAAATTAAAAACAACAACAGCAACAAAAAACTATTGGTTCT